TCTTCTACAAAAGACACAGGCGTGTTCAGTCATCCTCGTCGTCCCACGTGTTCATGCGATTCCTTGTTGCTCTGATGATCTCGAAGGCGATCGTCTTCCTCTCAAACTCTTCGTTTGTCAATCCGCTGCCCTTGTCTGGATGGCAATTTGCATATGCTCTCTTGATGTCTCTGCGATGTGCTGACTCGCTGACTCCTAGCTCTTCACATGCCCGTCGGTAGCCTTCCATGGGGTCTTCTGCGAAGAGCCATGACAACCATTCCGTGAACTTCTCTGCAAGCCAGCTTCCGACCATGTTCCCCACCACCGTGCATGCGAAGTTGGCGACAGGATGGACCGAGTTGGCAACATGAGCAGCGACCATGGCCGCGCCACCACTCAACAAAACGCCTCCAGCTGTCCCTGCAGTGGCTCTTACGAGACGCCTCGCTGCTTCTTCCCCATCCACCCTCTCGTAGGCATAATCCCATGCTATCTTCGCAGCTTGAGTAGCCCAACTGATTGCTGCCATGGCCCATTTTGTGCCGCTTCCTGCGCTGGAGACATCATTGGGTCGTGCAGTGCCCAAGCTTCCTGGTATGGAGACATCACTGGCCCGCGCAAAGAGAGGAGTCTCCAACAACCCTTGATTAAGGAAATCACTACCCACTACACCACTGGCTCGTGGAGTGCCCAACATGGCCAGGGCTACGGAAACAACCGCCTGTGTCCTCGAGATCTGACGGCCGTGTTTGAATCCGCCTCGACGCTGCATCCCTTGGTCCACTTCATCGCCTAGCTGCTAAGACATGTAAGTTCGGGTGTGTGTTGTTTTCTGTGCCGACGGGCGCGGCAAGCTCTGTTCCGGGAAACTTAGCCTGTTGATGAACGCAATAGCCCATTCAACAGGCTGTCTCATTTCCGGCCGATGACCAAGTAACTCGTTGAGACATGTGGCATTTCAAGGTCTAAGGTAGCATCGCAACGTCCTGGTGTTTTTTCGAGACCGCTCGATGGAAAACCTACACTCTCACGGTCACGGGCCATGGTCCCAGAAGCATCTTCAATGTCTTCAGGCCTAGCACCACAAGCCAGAACTC